GGGGAGAGAGGTGTTGTAATAATGTAAAATATGTGAAAAATAATGTGTTTTTCGAACAACCTAGTATGAGAGCCTGTTCTAGTACACCCCCAAAACAAAATCAAGACTTTGTAAAAGAGCATAATAGGACCCCTTTAAGACTGGTTTTGTGGTCCAGGATCACATATATCATTTCATTTTTGCTCTATATCTAGAGGATAATTTATACATAATTGCTATAATTACGTGTATGTACATAAGCCAATGGGGCCAATCTTAAAATGGGCAAATGTATGTGTTATTTTTGTGTTGTTTATATACTATTATAGTATTTATATATATTCTCAATTTGTCCATTTTATTTATTTATTTTTTACGTTTTGGTAATTTTGCAATGTACTTTTGTCATTGTTATTAGTTTTTTTTGTTTAATTTCAATTTAAAATGGGCAAATATAAATGTTATTTTAGTAGTATTTATATACTACGGAGCCCCTAAAGGGACATGGTGGTGGAAAAAAATCAGATTGAGTGAAAAAATTTGGGGTGGGAGGAAAAAATATTTTTCAGATTTTTTGCGTTCCCTCGCAAAACATTTGCATTCTCTCGCAAAACTTTTGCGTTCTCTCGCAAAGATATTTGCGTTCCCTCGCAAAACATTTGCATTCTCTCGCAAAACTTTTGCGTTCTCTCGCAAAGATATTTGCGTTCCCTCGCAAAACATTTGCATTCTCTCGCAAAACTTTTGCGTTCTCTCGCAAAGATATTTGCGTTCCCTCGCAAAACATTTGCATTCTCTCGCAAAACTTTTGCGTTCTCTCGCAAAGATATTTGCGTTCCCTCGCAAAACATTTGCATTCTCTCGCAAAACTTTTGCGTTCTCTCGCAAAGATATTTGCGTTCCCTCGCAAAACATTTGCATTCTCTCGCAAAACTTTTGCGTTCTCTCGCAAAGATATTTGCGTTCCCTCGCAAAACATTTGCATTCTCTCGCAAAACTTTTGCGTTCTCTCGCAAAGATATTTGCGTTCCCTCGCAAAACATTTGCATTCTCTCGCAAAACTTTTGCGTTCTCTCGCAAAGATATTTGCGTTCCCTCGCAAAACATTTGCATTCTCTCGCAAAACTTTTGCGTTCTCTCGCAAAGATATTTGCGTTCCCTCGCAAAACATTTGCATTCTCTCGCAAAACTTTTGCGTTCTCTCGCAAAGATATTTGCGTTCCCTCGCAAAACATTTGCATTCTCTCGCAAAACTTTTGCGTTCTCTCGCAAAGATATTTGCGTTCCCTCGCAAAACATTTGCATTCTCTCGCAAAACTTTTGCGTTCTCTCGCAAAGATATTTGCGTTCCCTCGCAAAACTTTTGCATTCTCTCGCAAAGATATTTGCGTTCTCTCGCAAAACCAATTGAGTTCGGACAAACACTTCCTGTTTACTTTACAGATTGTAGTGGTTCATACAGCTCCATACGTTCACAATGGAGTGGTTCATAGTTTTGTTTTGAACTTGGACAAAATAGTCAGTGCATGCTTATCAAGGCACGGTTTTGGGACATTCTAAAACGCTTAATGTAAACCACTGGATGAC